CATTGAACCTTACCAATCCTAACTCAGATGCAACCGATCGTGAAAAAGGATATTTAAAATAGCTGATTGCTAAATAGCTGATTGCTAGTTGTGCTTCTGCGTATTGTGAACCAGAAAGTAGCAACGTGCAAACCTCAAAAGAACTTCCTAATGACCTAAAATCTAGGATAATTTATCAACCTGAATTAGGAGAAGGATACAAAAAGCTATGTCAAAGGTTTAAAGTCTTTATCTCCACAGTCAGAAATATACTAGAGGATTAGCAAAATTTTGCAAGAAAGAATGATCCATAATGCCTTCAGAATTCAGGGAGTTATCTTTGTCTGTAAGAAGCGTCTACAGGCTGTTATTTCAGCAAAAGGTCAAAATAAAGGTGCCCACATTTTTGCACCTGTCTGTTTTTGTTATAACTTAAATTGCATTGCATCTGCTAATTAAATGTTATGTTAGAACTGATTTTTTTTTCCATAGTGTAACAAATATATCTATATGAAATTGCTGCTTTGAAGGGCCAGCAGACTATGACTTGGAATTATAATTATCAGGTGTGCCCAAACTTTTGCATAAAACTGTAAATGGTTTGTTCTGTAGACAATGGGGAAAAAAATATTGCTTAAAGGGGCTAATAATATGGAATATGGAAAAAAATTAAAACTGTTTTTATTCTAGCTGAAATATATCAAATAAGACTTTCTCCAGAAGAAAAAAATATGATAGCAAATACTTTGAAAACTTCCTTGTTCTGTTAAATTTTTATTATTATTATTATTATTATTATTATTATTTTATGTTTACTGAGTCTGTGTCCGAAATCACACTCTCCCATACTATATAGTACACTAAAAACTGAATGCAAGCCGAGTATGATGTCCGAATTCATATCATTCGAAAAACATTATGCGAGAAGTACCCGAATGACTTATTACTTCTGGCGAGAAGTGTGCATCTGACGCTCGCTACACTATCCCATGATGCTCTGTGAGAGAATTCATAAATGGGAATGAAGCAATGCAACTGACGTGGGTAGGTCATGTGATCATGACAAAATTGCAGATGCAGTAAGTTCGAGTTTCATTCATACTACTCACATTCTTACTGTATAGAACATACTTTTTATGGTCGAGTAGTACATTTACATTTAAATGCAGTACCAACTGTGTAGTATAGTGGTTTCATACAAAGCCTGAAATTTCATCTATAAGATATTCAATAGTTATGGTGATGATGGTACACTAAAATATTAAGGCTTATAATTCATTCATTCATTTTCTTTTCAGCGTAGTCCATTTATTATTCTGCGGTCGCCACAGTGGAATGAACCGCCAACTTATCCAGCATATGTTTTATCCAGCAGATGCCCTTCCAGCTGCAATCCGTCACTGCGAAACACCCATACACTTCCAGCACTACTCACTGCGCCACTGTTTTGCCCAATCCTTATAATAATGATGATACATTTTTATTTTTATTCGGGATTTGTTGCTATTATTATTAGAAGTAGTAATAGTTGAAATTGTCTGGAAGTCCAGTAGACTAGTGTTTCTCAACCACGTTACTAGAGGACCACCAACTAGCACACTAGCACTTTTGGTCAGCACCCAGGTTTCTTTTGACATCTGGGTACGGTATGTTTAGCTAATGTGAACCTTGTCTTCTGATCTCGGGTGTGAAAATATTCAGTAAAAGCAGAATGACCATGATATGTGTATGAGTCCATTTTGCTGCTTTGCTTTCGTGGCAGTCTCCTAGCAACAGCTGTACACAAAACAGCAGCTTGATGATGCAAGGGTTCAGAAAGAAAAAAGATGTTGTGAACACAAACCAGCCGCAAAGGTGGCAAGGAGGGGACAATTGAACATGGGATCGATGTGAAGGCACCCTCAGTCTCTGCTAATGAGCTTATGATCTGAATCAGAAGTGTTTGCTTAAGGAGACATGGAAAATCTGCTGAGCTGGTGGTCCTCCAGGAACGTGGTTGAGAAACACTGAAGTAGAAAATGGTTTTAAACCAACAAACAAAAAAAAGTAAGCCTATTTTTAAATAATATTTATTGGATTTTTTTATCTGCCAAACTAATAACATGATTATGAATTGTTTTTGTGGCTATTTTCTTTAAAAAAAAAAAAAAAGAAAAATAATCAACATATCAGGCAACTCTATATTATTTCAATGTTTCATACAAACTAAATTGAAGAAATGAATTCCAAAAACAGATGATTCTGTGTCATTCAGTGTTCATCTTCCCTTGTCTTTCTTTATCTTTCTCTCACTCTTTTTTTCTGTGTGAATACTGGAAGGAATAAATTGGGTGGTCAAGTGTGAAACTAATACGCAAGGATTATTAATGTGTAATTCAGCCGAAAATTACCATGATCTATAGGTAATATTATTTTCCCCTTTGTCTGTGGCAATTAAAAGCCTGTGGTAGAAGTGTAGGCCTAATTACTGTGTCTCCTAATTAGTTGTGAGTCACTGGAAGAACATTAAAGTCCTGCTGCCGTAAAGTTTTGCTCTTCTGTACTATTGGAAAGGCTCGTTAGGGCTTCTGAAATATGACTACATTACAGCTTCAGTGCAGGGACAGATATTTTACACTGAGAGTCAGATTGCTCCTAATGATTATAAACTGAATATATATACAGAGAGAAATGTGTCAATACAGACTGCAATGGAAAAGCAAGATATTTTGTTTTTTGAATACAAATTGTTGACAAAATGGTTGTGTTTATGTTTTGATTGATCTTGGTTAGGCGACACGGTGGCTCAGTGGTTAGCACTGTTGCCTCATAGAAGGTCACTGGTTCGAGTCCTGGCTGGGTCAGGTGGCATTTCTGTGTGGAGTTTGCATGTTCTCCATTTGTTGGCTTGGGTTTCCTCTGGGTGCTCCGGTTATCCCCCCAGTCCAAAAACATGCGCTATAGTTGAATGGAATCAACTAAATTGGTCGTAGTGTATGAGTGTGAAAGGCATCCTCTGCAAAAAAAACATGCTGGATAAGTTTGCGGTTCATTCCACTGTGGCGACTTCTCATGAATAAAGGGATTCAGCAGAAGTAAATTTTTCATTTTTTGTAATAGTAATTGTGTAGAAGTTTGCGGAAAGCGCTCATGTTTATTAGTATTGTAGTTTTCAAGTATTTTTACTTCAATCATTATTTTTACATAAATAAATAACAATGAGGTAAACAAATATGAGATTTGTTATATTCATAAAATTTATTTAATTATTCTTTCTATTTTTTTATTTTTCTTTCTTTCTTTCTTTCTTTCTTTCTTTCTTTCTTTCTTTCTTTCTTTCTTTCTTTCTTTCTTTCTTTCTTTCTTTGGCACTCTGTGTGAGTTTTATGAAAATGAGTTTGTTTTTGCTCCTATTTTGGGTTAATTTATTATCCTTTGTGAGTTGATTGTTTAAATATTATATTAATATTTTCGTAATAAAGTGTTCAATCAAATCTTGTTTTGATTTCTTTCTTTCTTGTTCACTTTTTCATTCTTTCTGTTTTTCTTTCTTTCAATTTTTCATGTTTTTTTTTCTTTTTGGTTTTTCAGTTTTTTTTTCTGTTATTTTCTTTTTAGTTTCTCTTTTTTTTTCTGTCTTTCCTTCCTTCCTGGCTTGCATGACAGCTGTTACTTCATTAAAATTTTATTTTATTGTAATTATTATTGTATAAATTTATTCTATTAGCAGTTTTTTCATTGTGATGCAGTTTTCTTTTCATGTCTAACGAAATGTATTTCAGATTCTTTTATCTTCATGTGGCAATGCTGTCCTTACAGGATAGAAGTCAATTCTTAAGTCTTTACGAAACGCATGCTTGATGTAAGCCTCATATATCACCTCATGTGTGAGATCCCATTTAAGATAACACAGCAGGATATGTAACCAGAGGATTTGGTAGTAGCGTTAACATTTGACACACATCCCGCTGTGGCTTAAACAGCTTTGTACAGTGGAGTACATGTGAAATACTATGGCGAGATGTGCAGTGCACCTGATAACACACAGCAGGCGCCACGTGTGTTTACTGATCTGTGTCTTGTGTTGTCTTGACAGTATTTGGCAGACAGTGTGCTTCAGGTTGGTTTGCAGGTACAAAATTGTGATTAGAATCAATAACACGCATAGAACTTGAAGCTTTTGTTCACATAGAAAAAATACATTATATAGTAGGTCTGCACAATATTAGAAAAATCTGACATTGCAATTTTTATTTTTTTCAGTGATCCATTTTTTAATGATTTCATTCATTTAGATTGATTGAGATGGTTTTGTAGGGGAGTGCATCTTCATAATATAATACAATATAATAAACAAATTAACTATTAACAAATTAACAGTATCTAGGTACAGAAATTCAATAATTACACATAAAATAATGTTTAGTCTTTGTTGTAGAAAAAAATGCATACAATTAATCATTGTTAAAGCTACAAACCTTATAATTCTTTGTGCCTAAATGCTTTACATTTGCCTGAAATCTTATACAAGTCCTAAGAACACATCCAACTGATTTTTTTTTTTTTTAATGCTGTTAGGGATAAACATTTTAATTTAGTTCAGAAATGTGATGCCCAGTTATTATAATTCCAATATAGCATGGCAGATCCTGCTATGTGGCTACAGCAGATTCACACATTGCGATATCGATGCCGAAATGATATATTGTGTAGCCCTATTATACGTTGATTCACATATTTTTAGAAGAATTATGAAAATAGAAGTTTGTGTGTGTAGACTATATCTATGTGATCTATGTATTTATGATTTAAAGTAATTGATTTGACATGTTGTTTTGATACATGTTTATATTACATTTTAGAAAACACAATAGCAATGTTTTCATGTTAGATAAGAAATCAATATTTGATTAAATAATGCAGCTTTTCTATAAATTTCAATATTGAAATTAATTCAAGTGGTTTCTTAATTTCTCCATGTTGCCATTCTATTTTGCTGGCAACCAGTCTTTAAGTGTGCAAATGTGATTTGTGTATCTCAGCTCCTCCAGATCGACCTCCCGGAGATCTTTGGCGCAGCTCTTCTCTGCTGGTTTTCCTCAGATCCTGGACCATCAGAACCAGGTGGCCGAGGTTCTGGATCCTTCTGAGCCTGTGAACTTCAACCCCCAGAGAGAAGAAGCAGATTCTCTGCAGGCAAACACACTCGTCCTGCAGTTCCTGGCCTTTACCAGGTTAGTATCAATGGAACACTGTTAATGTTTTATGTTTGCAGTCTACTTTTTTTTTTTTTAAAGGAAGCTTTTCTATGTAACTTAATATAATAGATTATATAAGTAGACCACTTGGAAATTCTCAATTTTTTAACAAAACATACTTTGTTTTGTTTTGTTCAGAAAAAAAATGCTTAAATAAAAAAATTGTAATTACTAATAATTAGTAATTTAGACCATACAATGACAATTGGTCAAAACAACAAATGATGGATTTTTAAGAGTTCATTTTAATATTTTAGACAACACAATATCAATATTCTAACTTTAGAAGAATTAAGAAATCAATATTTGGTGGAATAACCCCCATTTTCAATCATAACAAATGTTTTCATTCATTGCACTGAATCTGCAGGGCCAATCACAACAAATGAAAACATTTCTTATTTTGACCAATAGTCATTTTAATGCAAAGATGAAACGCATAAATGAAAAATACATTTTTAGAACAGCATCTACTAAATACAGAGAATTTTTGATATTGACTAAAGCTAATTAATCTCAAAACTAAAATTCTGTCATCATTTACTTTGCCTCATGCTGTTCCAAAACCATAAGACTTTTGTTCTTTTCAAACCACAAATGAAGATATTTTTAATCCAATCTCAGAGATTTCTGTCTGTCCATTGAACGTCTATTCAACCAAAACTGAAGCTTCAAAATATTCATAAAGAGATCAAAAAATAAATCCAAATTGAGCAGTTTAATCCAGAACTTCTGAAGTGAAGTGGCTGCTTTATAAGATGCACAGATTTAATTTAGTCCTTTATTCACATATAAACATTGAGGAGGGATCATTGTGAATGATGACAGAATTTTAATTTTAGGATGAATCGACCCTTTAAAGCATTGCAATCTCATCCGATACACCCATTTATTCCAACATGACATCGATTTGATAGTGTTTATTAAAGTACAATCACAGCAGACATTCAGATCTGTGGGTCACCCAAAGAGAGCAGATCTGGCATGTAAAAAATAAAAACACTTTTGTCTACAGAATATTGATCTTATTTCTGTCTTACAAACATTAAAGTAATTACAGAAGTACTGGGATGAAAGTTTATAGATAGATTATCAATACTAATGTCTACAGTGGATCAAGACAGAGTCAGTTATCTTTCAAAAGTAAAATTAACTTTGAATAAAGATTGTAACTTAGCCTGTCACAACTATTCATTTAATTGTCTGATCATGGTTATTTGATCTAATTATTAATTGATTGAGTTTTTTGACCTGATCATTTTAATTTCAGCTACATTTTGTCATTATTTGTCATTATTATGTTTTATTTATTCCATTTTTTTTACACTGTTATTTTTTATTGGTTTATTTATATAGAAACTATATTATTATATAGTAATAACTATAGTATTATTTAGTATATAGTAAAGTATAGTAACTAGATTAATCACAATTATATTATATTATATTATATTATATTATATTATATTATATTATATTATATTATATTACATTATATTTTATTATATTATATTATATTATATTATATTTTGTTATATATTATATTATATTATATTATATTATATTTATTATATTTATTATATTATATTATATTATATTATATTATATTATATTATATTATGTTATGTTATGTTATGTTATGTTATGTTAGATAATATTTTATATTATTTATATTGTTTATTTCAGTGACCTTATGATGGACAGACTGAACAATGAACATAATACTTTAATTTAATTTAATACTATATTCAAAATATATTTCCACGTTGTTAAAGGAAAAAACATGTCTATTTTCACTGACAGCAAAGCAGACAATTAAATTACTCACACTTTTTTATTTAACAATAATTCATTAGCACAAAATGCATAATGATGCATAATCATGACAGGCGTAATGATATTAATCGGATTGCTTGCCTAGTAGATGTTGAAATATTAATATCAATAAATCATGTTTTCTTTCAAGAGATTATTCAAAATGCTGATTCATCCAGTACATGACTTGTTGATCATCTAATTTTTACAGTGTAATGAAATAGAACCTAAATTCAATTAAAACCATATTCATTGTATATTTAAATTGTGTATCCATAATTTCTGTGATAATTTTTTTTTTCATTGAATGATTGTATCTATTCAATTAAGCAAAATGTTTGCTTCCTGTCAGACAATATTTGCAGTTTACCTCATTGCAACCACTCATTTTAAATTGTCGAAGTGTTCAGACAAACACAGACATATTATGATTCATTGTGAATAACATTAGATCATTTCTAACATCATCAGTCTAAAACAGCATCTATTCCAGTACTTAACTGAATTAAAAATATTCATTTCACATGTTTTTCAGCTGTTCCAGGAAAAACGATTTATAGCAATGTCTGGGAAAAAGACAAAATAAAAGAACTGTATAATATGATTAAGTTAGTTTTATTTCATAATTAAAGAATAATTGTATTGACAGGCGGTACTGTATGTTCTAGTGCACTGTCTTTACAATCAGCACTGAAACAGTAGCTGTTAAACAGGAGATGTCAGCTCTTTTATTTCAATAGGGATGCAGCTCTTCAAGGACCAAGTTAACTCATCTCTGCCTGCAATCAGCCAATGGCCATATGTCAGGCAGCTATTGATGCTCACTCGCCAACATAAGAAACGACACCTGTCAAGTGTGCTTGTGACAGATTCGGCCACTTCTCTGTTCTCAGATCAGGCATTGATAGATTTAAAGAACACCGGCACTTGTCTTTCTCTTGCATTTTCTTCATTTCTCTTACTGTTGATATTTAGTTGTTGTTGTTTTTCATACATGAGGAGAAACTTGTGGTGGGTTTGTTGATTTATTATCAGGCTTGTCTGTCTTTGTAATGTTTAACATCAAATCAATTATATTATTATGTATTTTAACGTAGTGTGGGATTTTTTTTTTATCTGAGGGAGCTGCAGGGGGGTTATGAATTGATGAAAAGTAATCATTAATTAAATCATGATGTACAATTGAATTACAACTTACGTAATAAAGACAAAATATAAATAGTTAAAAAGGGATGTGATTCTATTTTCAATACTTTTTAAATTGTACAGCCCTGTTGACTGAAAAAAGTCTATCAAAATAAGTCAATAAATCATTATTTCAATATTTTATTGGGTTTTTCAAGATAATATACAAACTTATAAATGTATATGAAAAATAGAAGTCCTATCAGCAGAGAGATGACATCAAATATATAGCAACAACAAAAACTAGAAAACTGTAGAACTTGTAAATCAAACCTAAACGTGATTACTCCCTTCCAAGCACCATCCCTCCCATCTCTCACTCCTCCCTATTTCCTGAGGCCTTCAATAATAGATTCATCTTTGCCTTCAATAAATGCAAAGATGAATCGAGATAAATAAATAAATAAATAAATAAATAATAAACAATTGAAATAATTGTAATAATAATAATGAAAAAATGATAATAAATAAATAAATAAGAAGATCTAATAGATATATAAATATAGAAGAAGAACATGAAAAGTGAATACTGAAAGTCTAACCTTAAACTTAATTTTATTCAGTTTCCAGGGACGTATTTCTCAGTTTTATTTATTAATTTATTAGAAAATGACAAAAAGAAAACCACATTAAAAATGATTATAACTTAAACTAAAACTTAAATTGAAAGCAAAAAAGGGTCACACTTTATTTTGGTGGTCTGTTTGTTGTATATAAGTTACATTGCATCTACATGCCAACTAATTCTCATTAGATTAGACTGTTAGGTTGGGATTTGGGTTGGTATTAGGCTTAGTGTAAGTTGACGTGTACTTGCAAAAAATGATAAGCCCTCCTGTGATTTTTTTTCTTCTTTTTCAAATATTTACCAATTTATCATGGCAAAGATAAAATAAATCAGTTTTTAGAAATTAGTTATTAAAGAATAACTAATTTCTGTGTTTAAAAAATGTATTGAAAAAAGCTTCTTTCCATTAAATAGAAATTGGGGGGAAATATATAGGGGGCTAATAATTCAGGAGGGCTAATAATTCAATTCAAAACAGTTTACTTCCATATTTTGTGGCTTATAATCAATACCAGAGAAACAGAACAGGAAATAGTAAGAAAGTTGGTGAATTCATAGATTATTACATAATTTTTTTTATTATTACTATCTTTAAGGGGGTTTCACCTTTAATGGGAAAAGACAGCGGAGATTATAGACAGGAAATATGGGGAGCAGAAAGAAAGGTTAAAGATCCACAAAGGACCTTGAGCCAGGAATCAAACTCGGGTCACCGTGAGCACCGTAGTGCCATGTGGCGACACACTAACAACGAGGCTGTATTGGATTATTCATTCATTCACTTATTTTCTTTTTGGCTTAGTCTCTTTATTAATTTGTGGTCGTCACAGCGAAATGAAGCGCCAACTTATCCATCAAATGTTTAACGCAGCGGATGCTTTTCCAGCTGCAATCCATCACTGGGAAACATTCATACTGTACACACTCATTTACACACATATAGTACATTACTACTAATTCACTACTAATTTAGCATACCCAATTGACCTATACCACATGAAAATCTGGAGAAAATCCACGCAAACACTGGGAGAACATGCAAACTCCACACAGAAATGACTATATTAGATCATTACATAGCATGAAACATCTTTAGTTTATAAGAAGTCTTGTCATTCTGAAATCTTTAATCACTAGACAGCCTATAAGCAACATACAAAGTAAACAGTTTTTAAAAATATATAAATATTTAATAATAATTTAACAACTTAAGTTATATTGGTGTCAGTATAGCAGATATGAAGTTCTACAGTTTAGAATTAAGGGCAGCACGATGGCACAGTGGGGAGCACAATCACCTCACAGCAAGAAGGTCACTGGTTTGAGCCGCAGCTGGGTCAGGCTGGGGCATTTCTGTGTGGAGTTTGCATGTGCTTGCGTCGGTTTCCTCTGGGTGCTCCAGTTTCCC